GGGTGTGCCTGTGGGGTGTACCTGTGGGGTGTGTGGGGTGTGTGCCTGTGGGGTGCCTGTGGGGTGTACCTGTGGGGTGCCCTGTGTGTGTACCTGTGGGGTGTGCCTGTGGGGTGTGTGCCTGTGGGGTGTACCTGTGGGGTGTGCACCTGTGGTACCTGTGGGGTGTGAGTGTGCCTGTGGGGTGTGCCTGTGGGGTACCTGTGGGGTGTACCCTGTGAGGTGTACCTGTGGGGTGTGTACCTGTGAGGGGTGCACCTGTGGGGTGTTAAAGGTGTGACCAAGTACTGACACACACACACACACACACACACACACACACACACACACACACACACACCTTCACATCTGGTACACGAGTTAAGACAACACAGAGCATGAGATGACTACTACAACCACCTCTACACCCCCTCTCACCCCACCACACTACAGCTACACCTACTACCCCTACACCCCCCACGAGCCACCCCCCCCCACTACCTTAAGCTACACACACACACCCCTCTACACCCTACAACCCCCCTCTACACCCCCACACCCCCCCTACCCCCCCACACGCCCCTCTACACACCCCCCACACTACAACTACCACTACACCCCCTCCACACCACTCCTACACGCCCCTCTCACACCACCGCGCCCTCTACACGCCCCTCTACAACTACGCACTACCTCCTACCGCGCCACGCCCCTCTCTACCACCCCTACACGCCCCTACCACCTCCCCTACACGCCCTCTCTACCCCTCTCTACTGCACGACCACTACACGCCCCTACACCCCCACCCACCCCTACACGCCACGCCCCCTACAACCTCCCCACCACCTCCTACACCACACCCACCCCTCACCACCACCCCCTCTCTACCACCGGCCCCTCTCTACGCCCCTAGGGAGGGAGGTCACAAGACCTCTCACCGTGCATCAATCTGCTGGTCGAGAGGGTTACAAGTGCCCTCAGTGGGGAGGTTATGATAAGCCCTACCTCCTCCCCGCCTCCCTGACACCTCCACCCCCTCCACCTATCTCCTCCTCAAACCCCTCAACCCTACTACCTTCATCCTCACCCTCCACCTACATCCTCGTCCCCTCCACCTCACTCCTCACTTCTCACCTCCTCACTACCCCTCACCCCCCCTCACCCCTCCTCGTCTTAAGCAACACTCACGACGCAGATTGAAGCAAGTAGGTGATAACACGAGTGACGTCATCAAACCATCCTCCTTTTCCTAGTTTTGGCGGGAAGGAAATATCACTCTTCAGTTGTTTTTCTCTCTTTAATACGAAAAAAAAATAAAAGTTAAAATAAAGCCTAAATATCACAAGTAGAAAGTGACAATCCTTCAAAAATGGCAACAATCTGATGCTCTTTTGTTTTTCGTCGTAGCTGAATGTTTCTGAATCGGTTTTTTTATCGTCTATACTTGATGTTTTTTTTTTTTTTGTCCTTGCTGGATGTTTCCGAGTCGATGCTCTTTTGTTTTTCGTCATAGCTGAATGTTTTTGAGTCGACGTTTGTTTATAGATTTTTGTTTTTAACCCCCAATCAAATAATAGATACGTTCTTACATGGCCAAGGTGTCGACATCAAAATATCTCTTCCCGGTTACTGCGTCGTGGCTCAGTGACTCAGTTTCGTAATATCAATGGCTCCTACTTGCTTAATGTTATCGTGGAAGAGCTCATGTTACTTTTCCTAAGAGGTGTTATGTTATGGTTGCGTTGCGTTAGGACAGGGTTGTGTTACGTCAGGGTTGTGCTACGTTAAATCACGGTTGTGTTGCGTTATACCAGGGTTGTGTTACTGGCATTTCACCCAACGGAACTACAAGCATCTGAGGATTACCTAAGGCCTCCTAGCTTAAGGTGACACACACACACACTAATGGCGGACAAAAATGACACCAAAATTACCCTGAGACTTTATCTTAACCCTTATTCATTCTTCACTTACGGACCATAATAAAATATCACTAAAAAAAAATCTATGAAAATGTCACTGAGATGAACAGTAGCCCCGTTAGAGTGATTCAACAACACACGTGGTGAGGTTTGTTTACAGTAGATCAGCTGATTGGTTTACGACTGTCAACACCAGCATTTTTCTACCTTGGACACGCGACTTCTTCTACCTGTTTATAATCGTGGATCACCTGAAGATTAGCCATCCATGCTTCTTTCACCTGAAGATTACCGTAACTCCTATGTTTAGTACACCTGAAGTTTAACCCCCCCCTCCCCTAATGCAGATCAACACCCAAAAAATCTATATAGACGTTCCATTAGGGGTATAACCTAACCTAACATAACCCTAACCTAACCTAACATAACCCTAACCTAACATAACCTAACCTAACATAACCCTAACCTAACCTCATTATGTTTTCTAGTATCGAGTCTCAGTAGGATATTGACTCCATTTTGACCTTGCAAGAGCGGATCCAGGGGGGGGGGGGGTTCTGGGGGTCCGGACTCCCCTTTTCACTAGAAAATTCCAATGCTTTTTCTTTAATGCATTATTGTACTCAGGCGTTTTTTGTATAGTATAATAAAAAAGTAATTACTATTGACCTCAGAATATCTCCTAATATCAAGTGCATGTGGCTTCAAACTGGCCTCAGAATGTCCAGGGTATTGATCAGATTAAAAAAAAAAAAAAATCCTAGTACAATAATAATAATAAAAATCTTAATAACAAGCAATAACAACAGCCACAGCATCACAACAATACAACTACTGTACAGAAACAAGCCAATGTTTATTTACCTTGAGAGAGGCGAGGGTCTTTAAATCGACGCTAGAGGGACCTTTAACTAACATAGCGACACCCTTGAGCTATTAACACACTTATCAACATGTTGTTAGCTGAAGTGTTAGCATTTTTCATTGTGGGGTAACTAATACTCACGCTAACAAAAGCTATGGGGGATTAATTTTCCCAAGTTTATGTTTGATAATTTGTCCCACGTAAGTTTAATTTTGATGTTATTTTCAGTCACTGTCTTTGTGGCGTAATATATATGTGGTATAAGTTGATTCGTTGTCTATTTTTCTTATCATTTATGTACAAATTTATCGTACGAATATTTAAAAAACTACAACCACGTGAAGGAGAGTTTGGAAGACAGAGCGATACACCTTACCCGCACCACGTCAGACGTCACACTGAGGCCTCCATTTTTTCTTCACCCGATCGCTGGTTCCCTGACGCACCTAGCCCCTCCCTGCCTCCCCTATTCCAATGGTAATCAGAAGTTAACAGCTAGTTTACGACAATTCATTCCTTTCAATAAAATTCCTTTAAGTACAATGAATTAACTCATTATATTTTCACCCTTGTGTATAATGACTTAACCTTTTCTATGTCATGAACTGATTCTTTAATTAGGATGACTTAGGTCCTTAAGTAAAATGAAATGACCCTTTAAATACGATGAATATAATAATTTGACCCTTTCAATACAATAATTTAAAGTTAACCCTTCAATATGATGACTTAATGATCAGTTTTCATGTTTGTAACCCTTTATCCAGCCTTATGCCCTTTAATGAAACCATTTACCTCGCCCTAAAAACCCGAGAAATATTAAATACCTTACCATCTATGTCTCCAGTATACAGTATATGAACTATCAGTCAATAGTAACTTATAAATTTTGGATATATTTTACATATCAATTTTCCCCAGTATGTTTAGTCTTTAGTTGTCTGGGTATATATTCTCTGTTTGTGATATGTTAAGCTTCTATGGCCTAAAACACTTATTCTTGTGATCGATATTTCTAACCACTTGTGCACTGGTGCCCTTCTGAGCTGAATAAAACATTAAAAGTTACCGTCCCCCAATGAAAGGGGTTAATGCTTCCCCATGCCAGTGTAAGGAATGCCATCATCAATTTGGACAGATGGTTAATAACAGAAGAAATACATTTGAAAGAAGTAAATATAGAATGCAAAGATCCTATTGGTACTAGTAAAGAAGGAAGAATGATAAGAAAATAAGAATGAAGGAAATTGCACTACGCAGCCCTGTTTATACCCAACCACATCACTCGTACATCTGTGTAGAACATGCATTTGAAGCTTCCCAGGAAATTGAAGTTAATGATGGTGTTTGATAACTTGTTCTACTCATTTACAACAATTTCCAAACCAATGTTTATCCAATTCCTATCTAAATTTGTCTAATTGAAAAATATTCCTACATGTTCACTGTCACTGGGATAGTTTATGTACCTTAGTTACATCACCTTTCTTTAGCCCCATCTTTCACTTATACACAAGGCTCCTTACCTGTTGGAATAATTCAGATTAATATCAATACTGTTCATTAAGATCACCAGGTTACCATCTTCCCGAATCATTACTCGTGCCTTGTAATAATCGACAAGAAAATATAGGAGGTCTTCAAACATAATTAACAGGTCTCTCACGGATACAATGCCTCGATCCTGCAAGCATTGTGTATTTTCTACCACCGACACCTTTTCAGCTGCAAGCCGTCACTAAGGTCTTGAGAGGAATGACCCAAGTAGACTTTTTATCTTCCTTATAATCAATAAAACCAAGTGGAATAGAGGTCTACACCTTGATAAAGCAGACAAATCACCTGCTAATGTTTCGTATCTGGAGTTCCTTCCCACAGTGATAAGGGAGACCACACGGTTCACATCACCCTTTATAATTTTCACATTAAGAAGCCTTCAAGCTACTGGTATATGACAGTATTGATCAAATTCCATTCAAAATCAGTTTTAGTTTCCCACGAGGATCGGTTCACTCTTCTATTCATTTATAGTTGGCAATACAGTACAGTAATGTTAAAGTATTGGCAAGCTACAAAATGCCCCTAGATAAATGTCTTTCACAAGGTTATTTAAAACCATTACAATATAAGAAATTAAAACATTTCAAAACTCGTGCCACTCTTTACAGCCTTCAAAGAAACGGCATCGTCTGTTTGACGAGTCTACTGACAAAGGTTTATATTGTGGAGTTTCAATGCTTTGGGATTTATTATTAGCAATATATACATAACTACATTTCTTACACACAAACTTTCATTTGAAATAAATACATTAAAAACACTTTCAAAACAAGGACACTAACCAGTTGTATATACAGTACATGGAACAGTTACGACAATTTGGTTGAACTTAACAAAGAACAAAAATAGCAAACACTTTTGTGCCAAGACCCAAAACTAAAGTTAATTTTTTCAGTGTCGGGCCATAATATAAACAACATACCCCAAACGTCTTCAGTGAAGTAAAAACTTGAGGCACATCAACAGACAGGGGAAACTGACAATATTTAAGCAAATGTGACAGGGGAGCTGTGGGCACGAGTGAGTGAGTGTCTGTAAACATGTAATGTGTGTGTACATGTAGGTTTCCTTATTATGACAAGAGATTCTACCTGAATATGTACACATACAGCTGTATGTATATAATAATGCATGCATGGTGAATGAATACATGCATACACAATTTAATCATACAAGTATTGTACAGTACATGCATTTGTGTTTGAACCAATACATCACATATAAATTACAAAAAAATTAACATTTGTCATTTTTAGCAGTTTTGTGTAGGTTACCTAGTGTTTCTTCATTAAGGCTCTAATAAAGAAACTATTAGTTCGATAACTTCCTTTGGTTTGTCAACATGGAGCCAGTGACCTGCCCCCTCTATATAGTGGAACGTTGCCTGGGGAAACAGCTCCATGATTTTATCTTCATCATCTTTCCTGAAATAAAAATGGACGACCGGTATAATTTACATACACATTAATTTTTTCATGCATACAACACTTTTCCTGCTAAATATACAGTATATAGATGGACCACAAGATTGGTGCAGACATACACCTCTCAAATGCCTACTTTGGTAGCTTAAGATAATATAGAACAGGTTAGTCAACTGTAATGGACTAAAATTACCTGCTGATCCTTCCATTAAAAGTCAATTTCAAGCTAACAAAGATACTACCACAGAAAACTATGAACTAAATTCTATGGAATGAGTTAGGAACAAAATAGGTGTTACCAAGGGTGAAGGAAAATAACCTCTCAATTCATCTCATTTCCACTGTAGTAAGAGCTTCAAGATGTACAATAAAAAAGGTTGCAAGAAATTATAAAATCTTTAAGTGGTACAGTTCAATATCACAGTGAACTGGAGGTGTATGTTTAATTGACATATATACAAATCTTAGACCAGAAATCTTTAATACACTACTGCACAATATTGTTGGAAGTCGATTAAAGTAATACAACAAGGGATCCATTTAGACCTGTGTAACAATACCAGGAGGATTGTAAAAAATACTATTTATTGCACATACTTTACTAACAAAGTCTTCAGGATAAACAGTAATGCATAATTTTGACCTAACATCCTAAGGAGGAGTTAATTCAATAGTTTTGGATACATTGATAGAGAATGAATGGTCATAATTGGTCAATACAACAAGAACACTCACTAGAGAATCAGACTACACTTAACACAGTCTACACAACAGCAGGCTCACGGCTGTTACTCGTATTTCAGGTCACACTGCCACGGCTCTTACCTTATGTAGTCCGACAGTTCTCCTGCAATAAATGCCGTGTCTCCTTCAAAGGATCTGTACTTGTCCAGGATGGGGAAGGTGGTTATGTATGGATGGAAGTGCACAGCGAGGGTATTCACATTAATCCTCCACTTGTACCCTCCGTCAACTTGAACGAGGTTGGTGAGTAAAAACTGACGAACGGCTGTTTCCTGAAACGCGGGAGAAAATTTAGAGACGTGGAAAAAACATTTTAAAGTTTTTGTAAATTAAACTATTAACCAAAATTTATGGCTTCTTGGAAAAAAACATTTGCCACTTAATGTCACCTAGTGAACCATACAGGGGCACCACACCTCAGGACGAAGATAAAACACTATTTAGCTACTGAATTTAATAAAGATAGTTAAAAAAACATTGCTGTGAAGACTATAGGTTTCAGTAACCAAGAAGGGCTCTAACACTTCTGCAGACAGGATTGGTTACATTAATTATGACTACTGTACAGGAGAGCAAAGGCATCATGTTATCGGTTTCTGAGGGAATGGCCAAAGAGGGTTCATAAAATCCTGTAAAATTAGTTCTAACGTATTACTATTATTACTAGTACTAACATAAAGCTCCCTATACAACTACTACAGGTACAGCTAAAGAAAAGTCACTTACGCTAACTATACCTTATGATCTGAAACCCAAGATGAAGAATTTGGGTAAAGTTCACCGTCACTTTACCCATATTTTTTGGAGTGGGTTTCAGTACTTGACGCTAAGGGGGATGTAACACAACTTTGACTGTACCCCTAGGAACAATGCAACACTTATCACATTAAAACCATCTTACACAATGGTTAGGCAGGACTATGGGACCCACTTTTACAGACACACGTACACTAAAGCTTCCATTACATGTATATCCAATTAAAAGTTAAAATTTCAAATGATAAAGGGTTTACATTTGAGAAGTCATAACAGCTGATTTCCACATTGCTGCCGAGTTTTAATAGTGAAGCTTACCACAATGGCCGGTTTTAACAGCTCGTCCACGTAAGTCCGGGCTTCCTGTATGGTCAAATGTGCCGGTACTTCTATTCTTCGCATGATGTCCATAAATCGGGGCACATAATTGATGCTGTCCGAAACTCTTATAGGCGACATATCCATTACCATCAATTTGTCCACAACGCTAGGCTGTGAAAATTTTGAGTCAAATAATATCGTGTAGGAAGTACAGCGAGTATTCCGAGTTCTATATCTAATCCAATCTTCTTTATACTCTTAAACCTGTTTCACCTCCTGTATTTTTAGACTAGAGGAGGCAGCAGTTAATCACCACAATTTACATAACTGGTGCATATACAAACAGGTGAATTTATACTATAACAATTTACAAACTCTATAGCAATCTGTAGTGTTAAGCATTTACCAGATAGCTAAAGGCATAACAGGTACTTAATATTCCATGTTCTCTAGCCTTCAGTAATGTTATGTAATTCCTGTGGACAATAAACCTAACAACAACAACACTAAATCCAGCACCTATTATGTCGTACAGTACAAGGGTAACTCGCCATCTCATGAAAGTTGGGAGTCTTCTCATACACAAAGTTACCAGGAATATTTTGAGTCCCATTATTTATTATCTATGTAAGGTAAAGTTAAGTTGCATTGCATTATAGGTTATTAAGCAAATCTCAAATACTGTACACTGGCTGTATGTAAAATATGCCTTGTGGGGCTGTATGTAAGATATGCCTTGTGGGGCTGCATGTAACATATGCCTTGTGGGGCTGTATGTAAGATATGCCTTGTGGGGTTGTATGTAAGATATGCCTTGTGGGGCTGTATGAATCTATGTATTAATGGTATACAGTACAAAATTCTAATACAGCATCTCAAAAATCAACATTTCAGTATACACTACTCTTACTCCCCTTGAAATATCATAGAGAAATCAAACACTCAGAATGTAATCCCAACCAAGATTCTACCCTCGAGAAAAACTTGGATTGACTAAAGAGAAGTACCCAGCTTATATCACTTGATAATCAAATACCCTAATGCTACCTGGGGAGAGAGGCATAGGTTAGGCAAGTGTTAGAGCAGTTAACCTAAAGGTGAAATAAGCTGGATAGGAAGCGAAGGGGAGTAACTTCCAGGCAACCCAAAAATTCCTACCAACTTACATGACAGAACTGTACCATAATCCACAACGACCCACAAACATCTAGACAATACTAAACACATTCTAATCAGTCTTCCACTTTCAAATATAAAAGGATCCTCATCTTAAACTACAAAATGAACTACAGTACTGTACATGTACCTCAAAAAAATTACTTACCGGTACCCTGTAATAATTTATATATTTCAATAATATATAGGAGGTTCCTTGGATAGTGTGTCACCCATTAACACAATGAAATTGGTGAAATATCAATGTACAGAACTTATTTTTGTACATCAATCTATACAATGATATATTTACTTAACTACAACTGTATAAGAAATGAATGTAGTGATATATAACAAAAGGATAATACCAACCATCCATAAGTAAATGGATATTCTAAATGCGATACATCACAGAACACCACCACAGACCTCCAACAGTGCTGCAGCCATCACCGCACGACCTCCCATGCTGTGACCTATCAGTACAGCTTTTGGAATGTTGTGTTCTTTCAGGAAGTACAAGATGTCCTCAGCTAGCAGGGGATAATTGTGAGTGGCTGCGTGAGGACTGTCACCATGGTTACGGGCATCCACGGCATAAATCTAAAATAAAAATAGAATAAAGTTCACAAAAATTCTCAAGTAAAGTATTATTGTTCAAAAGTACGGTACTGTACTCTTAATTCATTTTCTTCAAGCTCAAAATACAGGAGCAGAAGGTCTTTTTTTCATTAGAGACACCCAAGAGCAGCTAAATATATCCATAAAATAGATCTAAAACCAACTTGACTCAAACACTGAACAAAAAATCCTCACTTGTAACATGAAAACAATATTCTATATATATATGCAGAACAGCATATACAGTATACCATTATGATATAGATTATATATATACTGTCCTCGCTGGGCTATACTTACTGGTATACTGTATATATCTTTACTGGGATTGCTATCAAGATTCATCAGTTTAAGACAGGATACTCACGAGTCTCCCAGTCTTCTCATTCAAAGCCTTCCCTATTGATTTCCAGTTCAACTTGTTTCCCATCAGGCCGTGCATAATGACCACTGGCGGCTTGTTGCTAATTTTATCAGGTAAGGTCGTCTGGAAGGAAGAATATGCCATGCTGATTGGTACATCCCTGAAAAGGAAGAATTCATTAATTCAATACAGAATTGCAAACAAATACTGTACAGCATCAAATTTCATAAGAATATAAGAATGGAGGAAACTGCAGTGGGCCTATTGACCCATACTGGGCAGTCCCGTTACACCCAACCCCTATTGCTCGTATATCCATCCAACCTATGTTTGAAGCTATCCAGCGTGTTCGAGTTAATGATGATGTTTGGTAACTTGTTACACTCATCCACTACTCATAATTCATAGCCTGGATGTGTCGGATATAAAATGCTACAGACAACAGTTCAATGAGGTTTGCTATCACAGAACTAACAGTAGAGAAGTAGGGCTTGTACTCCTGTCATAATGGTAGGAGGTAATCTTCAACTCCTTCCTTTCCATAAAAATAAAAATACTGAAAAATAAAAAAGTTCAATGAGACGGTGACGACCAGCAGACATTCACGGGTTTCATGTAATTGGCCACATTCAGTATTTACAAATATGTACCTAGGAATGGATAACAGTTGGAAATAAAAGGTTTACACTAGAGATTGTTAAAATCTAATACCAAACTGGAATATATAATATAATGTAGTATCTAAACTACAATATCATCACTGCAATAAGCATGGAATAACAGGCCAATGGTGAAATCTCAAGCCTAACATTTTAGGACAGTGACCCATCTGGCTTCCCTCCTCCCCAAACTCCTTGAAACAAAGCAGCTTAGTTTCTCGACTGACCTTCACCAATTTGGCCAATTTAATGCATAAAGTGCAAGACTAGCGAAGGCTTTATGACAGTTCGAGATGCACTTATGAAGCAATATACACACCAGTCTGGCACCCAAGATAAGGAGGCCTTGGTATAGTCCTCTTTGTTCTGTCACAGGAATTACGTTCAACAAAACTTAAATATTTCAATAAAACAAATAACACGACAGATGTTATGTATAGCCCGAAGTTATCACCACTGAGACAGTCTTTACAACCAGAAATATTTCGAGTGATTATATTTGTCATCTCGAGTTGTGGGAAGTGTCAAGGCTTGGTGGTCACTGCCTATTGATGTTTGCTTGATCCCCAGCCCGAATATCATCCCGTGTACTAAATTAATAAGACCATAGTAAAAATCCAGATAAAAAACATTAAAAATCCACGAGCATAAATTAAATATCCACTACATAATACGTAATTTTGACAACCTCTAAATGCATTAAAAGCTCAACTATCACCAAACTAACCATTTAGAACTTGTAGATAACTGCCTGGTGTCATTTTGAGTTGCTGGCAGTTTTATATAACGGTGAAAATTAAGATATTTGGCGGTAGTTCTGAGGAAGTTCTTCATGGTGTTGCTCCTCTGACCTCACGCAGCTCACTAGTAAACACATCCTTCCTTCTTATCCACTACACCTGCTCTTCTTCTCCCAGTAGTAACACCATAAAACTGACAACTCATGTCAAAATCACCATAATTAACTGAATTAAACCAATACACTGATAAATTTGGATATATTTGACTTTATGCTTAATATAATTATCGAATTTTATTATTTTATATCGTATATCTCTCTAAAAGATTATATTTTTCCACAGTCATTGTACTGGATAAGAACGATGTACGTCGCTTATAAACAGAATATTTGGGATTTAATCTTTAAATGTAACATTAATCAGTATTTTGCCTTAAATTTGACTTTTATCTTATTAATAGTATAAAAAATAATAAATTCAAGCTATATTAAATACTTTTCAGCCTTATTTTATCATATTACTGTGTATTTGGAGCTTAAAAATCATACGAAGACAATGACCTTTAACAATCGATTTAATTTTCCCTGTTTTAGCAAGTTTCCGAGAATACAGTATCGAAATAGAGTCTGTATTTTGATCATTAAACATCAGTGACACTTTTATAATTAACACATATCAATTTCCTCATGTTGTAAAGGTTGTAAAGATAAGCAGAATATACAGGAACTTGGGTGGTTACGATAGCCTCGTTTGGTGCCTGGGGTGATGACCGGGCTGATGCAGATAGTGATTATATCAATATAAAACCGAAAAAGGCAAAATTCCAGTCAATGTAGCCCCAAATCCGGTTAAAATAGGTTCTAGCCCTAATAATCAGCACAGAAGAGGAGGCAGTACACTCGTTTGGCCAAAAACAATAGTCCGTTTGGTCTTTTTTTTCAACTGAACAATAACATTTGAATATTTATGTTTCAATGCAATTAAGGTTATACGGAAGGATAGATAAATAATAAAAAATAATTAAACATTTTATCACATGAAAATAAATAAATCTTCCAATAAATAATACAATAAGTTATAATAAACCTACAAACACATAACATTAATTTGTGTTTCGTCTGACAAAGTAATCTCATTATTACAAAGTCTCTATTTATTCATTTATTCTCTATAAATGCTCATTATTCAGTAAAACTTATAGATCTTAAATATCTAACTGTAAATTGCTAGTAATTAGTTCTTGTGTACATTCAGTCAACAGCCGTTCTCGATCATAGATTTTCATTCATTCCAACTAAAGTCTGTCTTCAGTCATTTGATTTAATCATTAAAATCTTAGAACTTTCAATAATTAGTAGAGATCAGAATAGGATTATTATTTAAATTAACCTCCATTATTTCAGTCCGGAAGATATCAAGCACCTGACAAAGTACATAATTTTCTCGTGTTCACAATCTTTTTAGCCACTTAATTCAGACTGGAAATTATGATCTGAAAAACTAGAGAAATTTACAAATATTTCTTTTCCATTTATCCTGACTGAAAGTTCATAACAGCCTGTAAAGGTAGATAATTTTACAAACTTTTTTCATATATACAGAGTGAAAGTTTAGTGTTTACAAACTTTCTTCCATGTAGTTTAACTGGAAGGACTCAATGGCCTGGTATACTTGTTGGGCCACGTTGAAGGCGTATTGGATGTCCTCGACTGACCGTCCCTTTAGAGAGAAGGCGAGATTCTTTTTGCCGGTGAAGAGGCCGTAGACGACCCCCGCCAGGTAGAGCACCAGCAGCGCCAGCAGGGTGCCCGCCACCAGTTCACCCAGGTAGATACCGATCTGTAGGAACAGGTGGATTGATAATACGAAGTAAGAGAGAGAGAGAGAGAGAGAGAGAGAGGAGGGAGGTATGACACAAAGAAAGAGAAGAAGGAAGAAACGAATAACAAAGCGAAGGAAGACCAAAAATATTGAGAGAAAGTAATAGAGATAAAGAGAGGTGGAAGGCACACAGTTTCTTTAAATATCTAACTGACTCACTTAAGTTACGACACAAAGATGGATTCCTATAGATTCTTATGCTCAAGACACTAACACGGAGACTGAAACACAGCATTAAATTTGTACAGAGATTCGACAACAACCGGATCCGTATTCCCGTTTAAAATTAAGAACAAATACTTAAAAGAACATACAGTATATCTGTGAATCCTGAATCCGGGTTTGGACAAAAGAACTCACCCCAAAGATCCCGGCTGAGGAGACTTCATCGAAAATTCTCGGTCTAAGGACTGAGTGTTGACGTTGCTCGTATGCTGGGCTGTGTGGCTTTTGCTGGCCTCTGAATTGGTAGAGCTGTGGTGGCTGTGAGCGCTGTGTGAGATGCTGTGGAGCGTTGGCCCAGGAGGAGGAGGTCACAGCGCACAGAAGTAGAAGTGACGGAAGGAGGTTCATCTATGTTGGAGAAAATAAAGAGAACGTTTTTTATTTAATATTGTGAGGGTCACACACACACACACACACACACACACTTTCAATATTATTATGTCTAAATCACATGTAAGTTTGTATATTTTCAGGCACCGGTTGCAACTCTATTAATAAACCGATATTTATTATTATAATTATTTAGGCATCAAATTTAGACTAACCAAGAATAAAAAAAATACTCATAACTAGTAAGAAATTTGCTCAGTCTTACTCGAGTTTCCTCTACATAACGTCACGCGACTTACGATCTTGTGTATGTAAATTATCAACTTATAGTCAAATTCCTTTATAATATAGAAGAGACGACAATTTCAATACCTTGATAATTTTAGGGAAGTCAAGAAAAGGTGTTACTCTCCTTCTGGTCCTCCACTGAGTGTCAACAAAGTGGCCTCCTCGTCGCTATTTATCATTTTCGGTAAGCTCCTCCCCCCTAGGCCTCATTTTAGCCAATCACAGAGCCAAGATTCACCCCGATGAGACTTGATCCCACCAATGATAGCTGATGGGTAAGTCCAGTATATCTTACAAATGTTTATCTTCACCAGAAAACTCACGTAAAGAATGGACACCCTAAACACACAGTTAGTTCAGCTGGGATGTTAGTCTTAATTTATTCATGTACTCCCTAATCATTCCTTTGGTACTGAACCTTTATAAATATCTCTACAAAATACTAAAGATTATCTTAGAAGAATGTGTTATAAGAGCAACATGGTTCTTACTTGTCGTGTGTGTGTGATCTCTTATTAGTGTCATGAACAATGTTGCTGTTGTATGCCTTCAGACGATAATATCCACGAGAAATAATAAATAAATCCCTAGAGTTTCTTTTCTTGGTAAACACGAACGCACCCAAAAACACCACAATAACAACAGGTGTTTACTCATACTCTCATACCTCAGGGGGGGGAGGGGTTAATTACAGTCTACAGGTGAGGTCAACCCTTTCTCACCACAACACCTTCACCTTCACCTCCCTTACTACATTTCCCTTTCCTAATCCTACACCTTCCCTCCCTACCTCTATCCCTCCCCTCGAACACAACTAAACCCCTCCTGCCATTTTGCCCCTTCTAATCCTCCCCTCCTCCTCTTACCCCAACCTCCCCCTCCCCCATAGACCTCCCAGGGGTTCTAAAATGGACCACTTACAAGTATTTTTATCCAGTTAAATTGTTTTGTTGTTGATACTGGGAGAGACGTGAGGGTCCCTAGATCTTAGCCATTCTTGAGTAGTATCCCCTGTCTCGACCACCAAGCACCTCCTTCCCTAAGTCCTATCTCTCTCTCTTCCTTCGTTCCCTCCTTATTCTTCTACTCCTTCTTTTCTTCATCTTTCTCTCTCTGTCCCCTCCGCCCTCTTCTTACCTGTCTTCTTCCCTTCTTTATTCTTCCTCTTACTTCTCCTCTTTCTTCCTTATCCATCCTCCCCTTCTCCCTCCTCCTCCTCCTGCTACTATCTCCTTCTTTTCCTTCTCCCCTCTTTCTTCTTATCCCCCTCCTCCTCTCTCCTCCTTCCTCTTCCTCCTTCTTCCTCCTCCTCCGCCTCCTTCCTCTTCCTCCTTCCTCCGTCAGTGACTCGTTCCCAGGGCCTCAGTGTGACCCACTCCCTCGGGCGATGCTTAAGTTAGCGTTGGAGGAAAAGGGGAAGAGAGTGATTGTAACTTACCTGGCCAGCTTATCCTGTCTCTCTTTCTGTCTCTCTGTCTCTCCCTCTCTCTCTGTCTCTTGATCTTTCTCGTCTTATTTCTATCTCTCTCTCTTCCTCTATTCATCTTTATTCTCTCTCTACCCCTTCTCCCTCTCCCTTTCTCTCTTTCTTATTCACTCATTCTCTCTCTTAGTCACTCCCTCTACCTTATTCTCTCTCACTTTCTCTTTCTGCCTATCTCTCTCTCTCACTTTCATCTCCTCCCTCTCTCACTCACTCTCACCTCCTCTCTCTCACTTTCACCTCCTACCTCTCCCTCTCTCTCTCACACTTTCACCTCCTCCCTCTCCGTATCAGTCAGGTCAGTGTAAACAGAAGACAACAATTATGCATGGAAAGATGGTTCTGTTCCTTATCATAGGTCAAGCTGCCTTACTGTTTACCATTGTTTACCTGCAGTGACGAGGTACATTGTTTATATACCTGCAGTGACTAGATACATTGTTTATATACCTGCAGTGTCTAGATACATTGTTTATATACCTGTAATGTCTAAAATTGGCAAAATGTCAAGAGAAATATATTAAATTTATACAATCAGAAAATTAGATACTTTGGTCATATAATTAGTGATGAGAGGAATAATAACAGAAATATTAATGAGTAATGGTGATGGTAGGAGGGCCAGGGGGAGGCAGAGAGCGATATGAATGAATGAAATTAAAAAGTTATTCCCACAGAGATACATAACCTCAGAGGATTGGTGAGAATAGCCCCGAGAACGTTTAGAGAAGAGGACTGTGGTCGCCAACCCTCAGATATAAAGACGGTACTCTGATTGGTTGAATTAATCTCTAGGTACATTGTTTGTATACCTGAAAATGATATGGTTGGATGGTCAAATGGGGCTTCAGTTTTAATGGGGGCTCAGTCTTAATGGGGGCTTCAGTCTTAATGGGGGCTTCAGTCTTAATGGGGCCTCAGTCTTAATGGGGCCTCAGTCTTAATGGGGCCTCAGTCTTAATGGGGCCTCAGTCTTAATGGGGCCTCAGTCTTAATGGGGCTTCAGTCTTAATGGGGCTTCAGTCTTAATGGGGCTTCAGTCTTAATGAAGCCTCAGTCTTAATGGGGCCTCAGTCTTAATGGGGCTTCAGTCTTAATGAAGCCTCAGTCTTAATGGGGCCTCAGTCTTAATGGGGCTTCAGTCTTAATGGGGCTTCAGTCTTAATGGGGCTTCAGTCTTAATGAAGCCTCAGTCTTAATGGGGCCTCAGTCTTAATGGGGCTTCAGTCTTAATGGGGCCTCAGTCTTAAGGGCCTCAGTCTTATGGGGCCTCAGTCTTAATGGGGCCTCAGTCTTATGGGGGCTTCAGTCTTAATGGGGCCCTCAGTCTTAATGGGGCTTCAGTCTTAATGAAACCTCAGTCTTCTAGGTTCTAGTCTTAGTAGTCAGGAGCACAGATCTAAGGCACCTATCATGTCAACACACGACACCTATCATGGCTCAACACCCACGACACCTATCATGGCTCACCACCCACGACACCTATCATGGCTCAACACCCACGACACCTATCATGGCTCAACACCCACGACACCTATCATGGCTCACCACCCACGACACCTATCATGGCTCACCACCCACAACACCTATCATGGCTCACCACGACACCTATCATGGCTCAACACCCACGACACCTATCATGGCTCACCACCCACATTACCTCTTGGCTCACCACCCACGTCACCTATCATAGCTCACCAACCGACACCTATCATGGCTCAACACCCACATCACCTATCATACCTCACCACCCACGACACCTATCATGGCTCACCACCCACAACACCTATCATGGCTCACCACCCACATCACCTATCATGGCTCACCACCCACGTCACCTATCATAGCTCACCAACCGACACACCATCATGGTCCACACCCACATCACCTATCATACCTCACCACCACGACACTATATCAACCCACGACACCATCATGGCTCACCACCCACGACACCTATCATGGCTCACCACCACATCACCTATCATAGCTCACCACCGCACGAACTATCATGGCTCACCACCCGACACACCTATCATGGCTCACCACCCGACACCTATCATGGCTCACCACCGACACCTATCATGGCTCACCACTCACATTACCTATCATGGCTCAACACCCACGTCACCTATCATGGCTCACACCCGACACCTATCGCTCACCCACCCACATCACCTATCATAGCTCAACACCCGACACCTATCATGGCTCACCACCCACATCACCTATCGCAAACCCACCCACATCACCTATCATAGCTCACCACCCACGACACCTATCATGGCTCAACACCCACGTCACCATCATAGCTCACCACCCGACACCTATCATAGCTCACCACCCGACACCTATCATGGCTCAACACCCACGACACCTATCATGGCTCAACACCCACGACACCTATCATGGCTCACCACCCACATCACCTATCATAGCTCACCACCCACATCACCTATCATAGCTCACCACCCACAACACCTATCATAGCTCACCACACGACACCTATCATAGCTCAACACCCACATCACCTATCATAGCTCAACACCCGACACCTATCATGGCTCCCACCCACATCACCTATCATAGCTCACCACCCACATCACCTATCAAGCTCACCCGACACCTATCATGGACCACCCATCACCTATCATAGCTCACCACCACATCACCTATCATAGCTCAACACCCGACACCTATCATGGCTCACCACCCTTCAAGCTCACCCATACCTATCATAGCTCACCACCACGACACCTATCATGGCTCAACACCCGACACCTATCATAGCTCACCACCCGACACTATCATGGCTCACCACCCACATCACCTATCATAGCTCACACCCACATCACCTATCATAGCTCAACACCCACATCACCTATCATAGCTCAACACCCACGACACCTATCATGGCTCACCACCCACATCACCTATCATAGCTCACCACCCACATCACCTATCATAGCTCACCACCCACAACACCTATCATAGCTCAACACCCACATCACCTATCATAGCTCAACACCCACGACACCTATCATGGCTCACCACCCATCACCTATCATGGCTCACCACCCACAACACCTATCATGGCTCACCACCCACATCACCTATCATGGCTCAACACCCACATCACCTATCGTGCTCAACACCCACGACACCTATCATGGCTCACCACCCACATCACCTATCATAGCTCACCACCCACATCACCCTATCATAGCTCACCACCCACGACACCTATCATGGCTCAACACCCACGTCACCTATCATAGCTCACCACCCGGCCACCTATCATAGCTCACCACCCGACACCTATCGCTCAAACCACACCGACACCTATCATAGCTCACCACCCACATCACCTATCATAGCTCAACACCCGACACCTATCATGGCTCACCACCCATCACCTATCATAGCTCACCACATCACCTATCATAGCTCACCACCCACGACACCTATCATGGCTCAACACCACGTCACCTATCATAGCTCACCACCCACGACACCTATCATAGCTCAACCCGACACCACATGGCTCAACACCCCGCACTATCATGGCTCCAACACCCGCCACCTATCATGGCTCACCACCCACATCACCTATCATAGCTCACCACCCACATCACCTATCATGGCTCACCACCACAACACCTATCATAGCTCACCACCCACGACACCTATCATAGCTCAACACCCGACACTATCATGGCTCACCCCCTCACCTATCGCTCACCACCCACATCACCTATCATAGCTCACCACCCACAACACCTATCATAGCTCACCACCCGACACCTATCATAGCTCACCACCCACGCACTATCATAGCTCAACACGACACCTATCATGGCTCAACACCCACGACACCTATCATAGCTCACACACATCACTATCATGGCTCAACACCCACGACACCTATCATGGCTCAACACCCACGACACCTATCATGGCCACCACCCACGACACCTATCATGGCTCACCACCCGACACTATCTGGCTCAACACCCACGACACCTATCATAGCTCAACACCCACATCACCTATCATAGCTCACCACCCGACACCTATCGGCTCAACACCCGACACCTATCGGCTCACCACCCGACACCTATCGCTCACCACCCGACACCTATCATGGCTCACCACCACGACACCTATCATGGCTCACCACCCACATCACCTATCATAGCTCACCACCCACGACACCTATCATGGCTCAACACCCGACACCTATCATGGCTCAACACCCGACACCTATCATGGCACCACCCACGACACCTATCATGGCTCACCACCCGACACCTATCATGGCTCAACACCCGACACCTATCATGGCTCACCACCCACGTCACCTATCATGGCTCAACACCCACGACACTATCATGGCTCAACACCCACGACACCTACCATGGCTCAACACCCACGACACCTATCATGGCTCACCACCCACGTCACCTATCATGGCTCAACACCCGGACACCTATCATGGCTCACCACCCGACACCTATCATGGCTCAACACCCGACACCTATCATGGCTCACCACCCACGTCACCTATCATGGCTCAACACCCGACACCTATCATGGCTCACCACCCACGACACCTACCATGGCTCAACACCCGACACCTATGGCGGCCACCACGACACCTATCATGGCTCCACACCGACACCTATCATGGCTCACCACCCACGACACCTATGTGGCTCACCACCCACGTCACCTATCATGGCTCAACACCCGACACCTATCATGGCTCACCACCCACGACACCTATCGTGGCTCACCACCCACGACACCTATCATGGCTCCAACCACGTCACCTATCGACCCCACTTCGCTGGCTCACCACCCACGACACCTATCATGGCTCACCCGACACCTATCATGGCCCAACACCACGTCACCTATCATGGCTCAACACCACGTCACCTATCATGGCTCAACACCCACGTCACTATCATGGCTCAACACCCGACACCTATCATGGCTCAACACCCGACACCTATCATACCTCACCACCCGACACCTATCATAGCTCAACACCCACATCACCTATCATGGCTCAACACCACGACACCTATCATGGCTCAACACCCACGTCACCTATCATGGCTCAACACTCCACGTCACCTATCATGGCTCAACACACGACACCTATCATGGCTCACCACCCACGACACTATCATAGTTCACTACCCGACACTATCATGGCTCACCACCCACGACACCTATCATGGCTCACCACCCACATCACCTATCATGGCTCCACACCCACGACACCTAGCATGGCTCAACACCCACGACACCTATCATGGCTCACCACCCACATCACCTATCATGGCTCAACACCCCCGACACCTAGCATGGCTCACCACCCACGACACCTATCATGGCTCGAGGCATGATAGGTAGTTCCAGATAACATGTCCACCCCAATTAAAGGATATTTATGGGCAGTCTTATGAATCCTAGAACAAACGCCACAATTCCTGTTATCCTCAGTAGGGTGTGTCATAATCCTTCTTCCAGTCTGTCATAATCCTTCTTCCAGTGTGTCATAAACCCTCTTCCAGTGTGTCATAATCCTTCGTCCAGTGTGTCTTAATCCTTCGTCCAGTGTGTCATAATCCTTCGTCCAGTGTGTCATAATCCTTCGTCCAGTGTGTCATAATCCTTCTTCCAGTGTGTCATAATCCTTCTTCCAGTGTGTCATAATCCTTCTTCCAGTGTGTCATAATCCTTCGTCCAGTGTGTCATAATCCTTCTTCCAGTGTGTCATAATCCTTCTTCAGTGTGTCATAATCCTTCTTCCAGTGTCATAATCCTTCTTCCAGTGTGTCATAATCCTTCGTCCAGTGTCATTCCTTTCCAGTCTGTCTAATCTTCTTCCAGTGTGTCATAATCCTTCGTCAGTGTGAATCCTTCTTCCAGTGTGTCATAATCCTTCTTCCAGTGTGTCATAATCCTTCGTCCAGTGTATGTCATAATCCTTCTTCCAGTCTGTCATAATCCTTCGTCCAGTGTGTCATAATCCTTCGTCAGTATGTCATAATCCTTTCTAGTGTGTCATAATCCTTCGTCAGTGTGTCATAATCCTTCTTCCAGTGTGTCATAATCCTTCGTCCAGTGTGTCATAATCCTTCGTCCAGTGTGTCATAATCCTTCGTCAAGTGTGTCATAATCCTTCGTCAGTGTGTCATAATCCTTCTTCCAGTGTGTCATAATCCTTCGTCCAGTGTGTCATAATCCTTCTTCCAGTGTGTCATAATCCTTCTTCAGTCTGTCAAATCCTTCGTCCAGTGTGTCAATCCTTCGTCAGTTCTAATCCTTCTTCCGTGTCATAATCCTTCGTCCAGTGTGTCATAATCCTTCTTCCAGTGTGTTGTCTTTTTCTCATCCTTCGTCCAGTGTGTCATAATCCGTCCAGTGTGTCATAATCCTTCGTCCAGTTGTCAAATCCTTCTTCCAGTGTGTCATAATCCTTCGTCCAGTGTCATGTAATCCTTCGTCCAGTGTGTCATAATCCTTCGTCAGTATGTCATAATCCTTCTTCCAGTGTGTCATAATCCTTCTTCCAGTGTGTCAAAATCCTTCTCCAGTGTGTCATAATCCTTCTTCCAGTGTGTCATAATCCTTCGTCCAGTGTGTCATAATCCTTCGTCAAGTGTGTCATAATCCTTCTTCCAGTGTGTCATAATCCTTCGTCCAGTGTGTCATAATCCTTCGTCCAGTGTGTCATAATCCTTCTTCCAGTGTGTCATAATCCTTCGTCCAGTGTGTCATAATCCTTCGTCAAGTGTGTCATAATCCTCTTCCAGTGTCATAATCTGTTGTTTTTTTTCGTCCAGTGTGTCATAATCCTTCGTCAGTGTGTCATAATCCTTCGTCCAGTGTGTCATAATCCTTCTCAGAGTGTGTCATAATCCTTCGTCAAGTCTGTCGCAATCCTTCGTCCAGTGTGTCATAATCCTTCTTCCAGTTTCCAGTGTGTCATAATCCTTCGTCCAGTGTGTCATAATCCTTCTTCCAGTGTGTCATAATCCTTCGTCAGTGTGTCATAATCCTTCTTCCAGTGTGTCATAATCCTTCGTCAAGTCTGTCATAATCCTTCGTCCAGTGTGTCATAATCCTTCTTCCAGTCTGTCATAATCCTTCGTCAAGTGTGTCAAATCCTTCGTGTGTCATAATCCTTCGTCAAGTCTGTCATAATCCTTCTTCCAGTGTGTCATAATCCTTCGTCCAGTGTGTCATCCTTCTTCCAGTGTCATAATCCTTCTCCAGTGTGTCATCCTTCGTCAAGTGTGTCATAATCCTTCTTCCAGTGTGTCATAATCCTTCATCCAGTGTGTCATAATCCTTCGTCAAGTCTGTCATAATCCTTCGTCCAGTGTCATAATCCTTCGTCAGTGTGTCATAATCCTTCTTCCAGTGTGTCATAATCCTTCATCCAGTGTCATAATCCTTCGTCAAGTCTGTCATAATCCTTCGTCCAGTGTGTCATAATCCTTCGTCAGTGTGTCTTAATCCTTCGTCCAGTGTGTCGCAATCCTTCGTCCGGTGTGTCATAATCCTTCGTCCAGTGTGTCATAATCCCTCTTCCAGTGTGTCATAATCCTTCGTCCAGTGTGTCATAATCCTTCTTCCAGTGTGTCATAATCCTTCGTCAAGTGTGTCATAATCCTTCGTCCAGTGTGTCATAATCCTTCGTCCAGTGTGTCATAATCCTTCGTCAAGTGTGTCATAATCCTTCGTCCAGTGTGTCATAATCCTTCTTCCAGTGTGTCATAATCCTTCTTCTAGTGTGTCATAATCCTTCTTCCAGTGTGTCATAATCCTTCGTCCATTGTGTCATAATCCTTCTTCCAGTGTGTCATAATCCTTCGTCCAGTGTGTCATAATCCTTCGTCCAGTGTGTCATAATCCTTCTTCCAGTGTGTCATAATCCTTCGTCCAGTGTGTCATAATCCTTCGTCAAGTGTGTCATAATCCTTCGTCCAGTGTGTCATAATCTAAGGCTAAATCAAAAGGAATATTTCTGTACCGTGTTATAATCATTTCGTGCTATTGTTATTTTGTAGTCCAATATGAATGAGGTCGAGTGAGATACTGTAACATAATTGATGATAATTTTGTCATTTCTTATTCGATTTTGATGTTTTTGGTGTCATATGATTTGTTATTTAATGTACTATAATCATATATGGAAATTATACAGCCTTCACTTATACATTATATACAAACATTAGGATAAGAAATATATCTAAATCAACACAATACTGTATATTTTCTTTCTCACACAAATATACATTAAATTAACACTCAGTAAATATACAATCATACAACAACACTCAAGAACAACTTATAAAATATTTACTTATAATTTTAATTCATACTTACAATATACTTATGAGTTCAGGGTCTAGTCCATGCAAGAGGGACATAACGCACCGTGAACTTCGCTAAAGACCTGAGATCCGAACTTGTGAAAGCTGTTTAGCGCAAGAGTGGCATATGTCCATACCACGACGTAGCATTACATAGCTTTACATAGTATTACATAGCTTTACATAGCATAAAACACATATCTTGACCCCTGACATACCATGACACACCGCATACACACATGACTGTCATAAACGTGTGTGTGTGTGTGTGTGTCATGTAAGCAAGGTTATAGAGGTAGCTATGGTGGTTGTATAGCATACGAGAATGTGTATAATATCGTGCTATACACAATTATAGAAGCGCAATATAGATTTATACTCATTACTGTACTGTAGAAGAAATATTGAACATAACTGAACAGTACTCCAGAAATACTGTACAGAAAATAGTGAACATAACTTTGAACAGTACACCCAAAATACATATTTCATATATAATTCTATCTTACAGAATTAGTTAGAATTAGTTATTGACCAAATTAATAGTCTTACTTCACTGTCCAAATTAATAGTCTTACTTCACTGGCCAAATTAATAGTCTTACTTCACTGGCCAAATTAATAGTCTTACTTCACTGGCCAAATAAATGTTCTTACTTCACTGGTCAAATTAATAGTCTTACTTCACTGTTCAAATTAATAGTCTTACTTCACTGGCCAAATTAATAGTCTTACTTCACTGGCCAAATTAATAGTCTTACTTCACTGGCCAAATTAATAGTCTTACTTCACTGGCCAAACAGCTGGTGGTACTTGTCGATGGCCATGGAGATGGTCGTGGCCAACTGGTCCAGGTCCACGTTGGCCAAAGCTCGGCCTAACTCGTCCTTCGTCGCACTGGTGATGACGTAGATGGTTATAATGATGATGATGATGACAATATTAATAGTAAAGCAAATAAATAATAATAATAATAATAATAATAAAATAATAATAATAATAATAATAATAATAATAATAATAATAATAATAATAATAATAAACAAACTACAATCACAACAATAACAAGATAATTAACTATTTTAACAAATTAACAGGGAAACGAACTCAAAATAAATCAATTAATCTAACTTAACGGGATACTTACCTAATTCTAACTCATTTTTAAGGGGTAACTAACATAAAAAAAAAACACGTGAGACTAGGACTTACCTCAGGTTAGCTAGGAAAGGTACATTAACGAGTCCTAGAAAGCTGAGGATAGTGATGATAATGATGACTGAGAGAGACACAGGTATCACATCACTCAACACCTTCAGCCCCTTGTCCAGCCATCCACTGAGGAACGAGTCTTCTTCTTCAGTATGTCCGTTCCACAGTGCTTTATCGGGGAGAGAGAAAGAGATGGAGGTGGTTAGGATTCGTGGGTTAGGAGGGATAGGTCGGGGGCTCGGCCTGTTCATGGGATAGGAGGGTGGGATTCATGGGTTAGGTGGGATAGGGGATCGATGTGGGGCTAGGATTCATGGGGTAAGTGTGGATGACAGGGATATGGGCCCTAATTCACAGCTTAAGTTAATATATTGATACAAATACAAGGTCAGGTACTGATACAGGACTGATACAGGTACAAGCAGAGAGTACAAGGATAGGTATAGGTTCTAACATGGGAGGAGACTGACAACACACTCACCTGGGTCACCATAATTAGGCTGGTAGGAGGGGTACTGTGGGGGCGGAGGACCTTGGAAATCAAACTGGTTGTGTTCGAAGGACGGCGGTACATCGTAGGAGGACCCTGGCTGCGGCGGCTGAGGCTGTGGTGGACCTCCGTGGGACCCCTCCCTATTGACGGCGGCCATGGCGAGGCAAGGCAACACCAGCAGGAGCAACGAGGACGTCTTCATCATGAGGAAGGTGAGGACTACACTAGCCCAGTCACTACCTACACCCTGTTAATATATGACCTCTTCTCGACCTGACCTGACCTCGCGGCTATGTTTATCACCTGTTGGTCCCGGG